CCCCCCCCCCCCCCCGTGCTTGTATACTGGGACAAGGACAGTAGTCTAATGAAACGGCCTGGTCAAGCTATAACTGTAGCTCGGAATAACTGTGCATGTAAAAGCACTGAGTGCTACATGGGGACTTAATCTGATCACTCACACACACACACACACACACACCTCTGTTCCATGCCACCTCACCTGTTTCTCCTCAGCAGACAACATGCCCTGCACAGCCACCACCTGGTACTGTTTGTGTCTCAGGCTGCCAGGGAACTTCCTGATGTGGTGGACGGCTGTTGAGACTGTGCCCTTGCTCAGCAGCTTCCTGGTGTCTGATGCTGAACTGCCAGGATCGAGAAGCAGTAGGCACAGGCTCCCATTTTTCCTCTGCTCCAAGCCCACTATAGAGCGGCTGTGACCTGCAAGCAGAGTACCCTCAGGGTTCTCAGTTACATTTAAAACTTTTTAAGACCTTTTTCATACCACCTAGAATGAAATTTAATGCCAACGTCAAGGCCATGCTGGCAAAAACTGTGCCGGATATATGGGGCAGCTGTGGATCAGAGGTAAAGCGGGTCGTCTACCAATTGGATGATCAACGGTTCGATTTTTGGCTCCTCAAGTCCGCATGCCAAAGTATCCTTGGGCAAGATACTGAACCCCAAATTGCTCCTGATGGCCATTCAATGGATGTGTGAGTGCATGTCAATGATTAGTGAGGAGCAGGTGGCACACTGTATGGTAGCCTCGGCCACCAGTGTGTGAATAGGTGAATGTGATATAAGTGGTCAGATAACGAGAAAAGCCTATACAAGTGCAATCTATTTATTTATAGGGGTGTAACATTCCATCGATCTGGATTGATATAATGATTTTATTATCAACGATCCAATATCAGCGATGCAAAGTGAAAACATTGATCCATATCATCATCTTTAGCGTAGGCTTTTATTTTGAAAGTCTGTGTCACTGTCAAACAGCGGCAGGCACATAGCAAGCAGCCAAGAGAAAGACGAAAAGGATAGCATTATTTACTTGGGAATAAATCAGCAGAGTGGAAATATTTTGGATTTTAGAGAAAATACAGGACAAGAGACAGAGCACATGACATATATAAACAATGCTGTTACGAGATAAAACACGATGTAATGTTACCTGCCTGGACGAGCATCTCACTCGGCTAACTTCTTGCTTAAGCAACATTAGCTGCTCTGTTTTAACAATGTTCAGCTGAAAAACGTGCTTTACGTGATTTACACCCCTATTTATTTATTAATTTCATTCATTTTCCATAACCACTTATCCTGTTAGGGGTCACGGGGAGAACTAGAGCCTATCCCAACTGACATTGGACAAGAGGCAGGGAACAACCTGGACAGGTCATCGGACTATCACAGGACTGACACATAGACACAGACAACCACTCACGCTCACAATCACACCTACAGCCAATTAAGAGTCACCAGTTACCTGACATGCATGCCAGAGAACCTGGAGAAAACCCATAGTGACATGGGTAGAACATGCAAACTCCACACAGCAGGGCTCCCCCTCAGATTCGAACCAGGAACTCTTGCTGCAACGTGACAATTCTAACCACTGTACCACCGTGCCGCCCAAATTCTGTGTCAGTTCTCAGCCCTAGAAATAATTATTTACCAAATACTTTAACTTAATAAAACATTTTAATACTCACATTCATATGACATTAACATAACTTTGTGAGGCGTGAGTCTGCACGCTAGTAACATTAGATGATAAAAGATATTAATTTGCTGCATACAGAGTTCGCCTTTTGGTCACAAAGGCTCCTATTTGAACTGAAGCTTACTTGAGTGTATTTTAGCAAGTGTCACTAGACAAAAGACTACAGTTTTTGGAGCTCTGCTCCTTTGGCTGCAATTTGTCCAAGTTCTTGAGCTCAGCCAGCAAATGGAGTCTGGTGGTTTACACACAGGCAAACACATTTTATTCATCTGACTGTTTGTGACATTATGGTATACATTTTATTGTATGAAAGTAAAAGAAAAAAAAATAGAGCTTGGAAATAAAAGACTTTGTTGACAAATGTAATATTTTGGCCTTATTTTGAGAATATTAAATTCAAGGCCTTTTAAGAGTCCTGGGGGTACCCTGTCCATGGTTTTTGACCTTGTGAAGACAACAGCATTTCCAGTTGTTATGAACAGCATCAGCAATCCTGATGCAGGTTTGGACTATAACTTTTGTCCACCTGCCACTGTGGCTGGTAGATTTCACAATCTAGTAGCCACTCAAAATATTATCTTTTTTTGGCTGGTTAATGAAGCAAATGCAGCAGCCACTTACATGCTTTACTGGAGGTTGGCTGGTTGCTGGTGCTAGTTTGCAGCCCTGTCTGGGTGTCATAGAGAGGGGGAAGCATGGTTTTGTTTAAATATGGGGATAAAAGTACACATTTTCAGACAGTCTCTACTGGAATACATTCATAATATTGTACTAAGTTGTTCACATGAAAAGTGAAAGAAATGGTTATTGACAAGAACAAACTTTTTTATTCTTGACATTAGGGACAGACAATATGGCTTATAAATAATATTGCAATATTTTTAGGCTATATCACGATATTTTGAAATCTCTGAAGTACTGTAGACTACTAAAATACAAAATTGTGTTGAAATAGTGTTGATGTTACTGCTTTGAACTCGAAGCAGTCAGATGTTTGCAGTTATCACCAAGTTTAACTGTTGCCACTGCACCTTTAAACATGAGGATTTATTCACTGTGAGCTGGAAACACACCAAAAGCTCTCCAGTTCATATATTAATAATATTTGCAAGTCCCACTGGTGCTCCATGGTTGCAAAATGTGACTAATTGGTCACAATCTGGAACCCTCCTCTGTTTATGCTATCGTTAATCTCATAAAGTCAAAGTGTTACTGCAGCGCTGTTAAACAGATGATTTATTTACTGTAAGCTGGAAACAAACTAACAGCTCTCCTGTCCATGTATTGATAATATTTACAAGTCGCAGTGGTGCTTTATGGTCGCAAAATGTCACATTTACAGGGCTTAAAGTGAAAAATTTTCCTGAGCCTGAAGCCTGAAATCTGAAAGCCATCTTTTGTCAAAGATGGCTGCTGTGCATATAACCCAATGACCCACACTTATCTCAGTTTTGCTGATTCTTTACTGTATTGCAGTTGTATTACAGTGCCACAAAATGCTGCACCTGGCTCGTTCAGCTTCTTGCACCATGTATTAAATGGTTTGCCCTCAGCGCCCTCCTCCTCGAGCCATGCCCACCTCCACTTATTTTTCACCCCTCTCTCCAGTTCTGCTGTATTAACACCGGGTTTAATATATTTTGCTTCCATCTCTCTGCCCTGCTCTACTCTACTTCAACGCTGCTTAGCTCTCTCTCTACTCTACCAGTAGACTATCACATCCACCAGTTGCACAAAACGCACACAGCAGTGTTTCCCCTAGGATGGAGTTGTAGCAGCGGAGGTGAAGCACATGCATGAAAAAAAATTTTCACATGCATTTAACTTTTTTGTATGCTTGCCTGCTGGGATGTTTCTATGTATCTACTGGCACCAGAAGGGCTCTTCAGGACTAAGTACAGTACAGGCCAAAAGTTTGGACACACCTTCTCATTCAATGCGTTTTCTTTATTTTCATGACTATTTACATTGTAGATCCTCACTGAAGGCATCAAAACTATGAATGAACACATGTGGAGTTATGTACTTAACAAAAAAAGGTGAAATAACTGAAAACATGTTTTATATTCTAGTTTCTTCAAAATAGCCACCCTTTGCTCTGATTACTGCTTTGCACACTCTTGGCATTCTCTCGATGCGCTTCAAGAGGTAGTCACCTGAAATGGTTTCCACTTCACAGGTGTGCCTTATCAGGGTTAATTAGTGGAATTTCTTGCTTTATCAATGGGGTTGGGACCATCAGTTGTGTTGTGCAGAAGTCAGGTTAATACACAGCCGACAGCCCTATTGGACAACTGTTAAAATTCATATTATGGCAAGAACCAATCAGCTAACTAAAGAAAAACTAGTGGCCATCATTACTTTAAGAAATGAAGGTCAGTCAGTCCGGAAAATTGCAAAAACTTTAAATGTGTCCCCAAGTGGAGTCGCAAAAACCATCAAGCGCTACAACTAAACTGGCACACATGAGGACCGACCCAGGAAAGGAAGACCAAGAGTCACCTCTGCTTCTGAGGATAAGTTCATCCGAGTCACCAGCCTCAGAGATCGCAAGTTAACAGCAGCTCAGATCAGAGACCAGATGAATGCCACACAGAGTTCTAGCAGCAGACCCATCTCTAGAACAACTGTTAAGAGGAGACTGCGCCAATCAGGCCTTCATGGTCAAATAGCTGCTAGGAAACCACTGCTAAGGAGAGGCAACAAGCAGAAGAGATTTGTTTGGGCCAAGAAACACAAGGAATGGACATTAGACCAGTGGAAATCTGTGCTTTGGTCTGATGAGTCCAAATTTGAGATCTTTTGTTCCAACCGCCGTGTCTTTGTGAGACGCAGAAAAGGTGAACGGATGGATTCCACATGCCTGGTTCCCACTGTGAAGCATGGAGGAGGAGGTGTGATGGTGTGGGGGTGTTTTGCTGGTGACACTGTTGGGGATTTATTCAAAATTGAAGGCACACTGAACCAGCATGGCTACCACAGCATCCTGCAGCGACATGCCATCCCATCCGGTTTGCATTTAGTTGGACGATCATTTATTTTTCAACAGGACAATGACCCCAAACACACCTCCAGGCTGTGTAAGGGCTATTTGACCAAGAAGGAGAGTGATGGAGTGCTGCGGCAGATGACCTGGCCTCCACAGTCACCCGACCTGAACCCAATTGAGATGGTTTGGGGTGAGCTGGACCGCAGAGTGAAGGCAAAGGGGCCAACAAGTGCTAAACACCTCTGGGAACTCCTTCAAGACTGTTGGAAAACCATTTCAGGTGACTACCTCTTGAAGCTCATGGAGAGAATGCCAAGAGTGTGCAAAGCAGTAATCAGAGCAAAGGGTGGCTATTTTGAAGAAACTAGAATATAAAACATGTTTTCAGTTATTTCACCTTTTTTTGTTAAGTACATAACTCCACATGTGTTCATTCATAGTTTTGATGCCTTCAGTGAGAATCTACAATGTAAATAGTCATGAAAATAAAGAAAACGCATTGAATGAGAAGGTGTGTCCAAACTTTTGGCCTGTACTGTACATACAATACATTTTTGCACAGTAATGAGCAGATGAAATGTCTGTCTAGCTTATATATGAGGTGTCTCATGATTCAGGAAAATTCAATTTTTGGGAACATAATAAAAGTAAAAAGTCACTTGACATGCTGCTGTTTTGTGCTATGACCTATTTAAGTGCTTGAAGTTGTTATTTACCTGACAA